AAATCTGCTCGCATGAGTGAATATATTGATTCAGATGAGATACTGAAAAGTGAATCAAATGCCAAGTGCAAAGATTTAATTAAAGCAAAAAGAGAAAAAAGTAAAAAGAAAATAAAAAGAGAAAAAACAAAGGAAAATTGAAGAAAAAAGAAGACAATATGCATATGCAAAGATTCTCTCGATTCAAATGACGCATCGAGATTCAAACTATGAAATTGATCAAACACAATCATTTTCGAATCACTGAACCACTTCACTCGAAGATCATAGAGCATCAAATGAGATTGATCAAGCACAATCATTTCTGAATCACTCCACTCGAAGATCATGGAGCATCAAGAGAAAGACACATACGAGCAGATTCAAATTGAGCAAGATATGATCGAAGACATCAGAATGAATTGATCATTGGTTCAATCACCCTTAAACACTTGTTTGAGCCTTTTATCCCTTTCTTTCATAACCATGAACCATGACCTACGTTACATGCCTTAAATGTCCATTCTAATCATACATGGATTTCTAAACAGAAGAGACTATCTTTAGATTTCATCCAGCCCATCAGGATTAATCTTTATTTGTAAAAAATAGTGTAATTAATGCATGATAGAGAAAAATAACAAAAGGGTGTTCAAGACGTAAATTACGAATGATGTCTTGAAACCAAAGGAGGATTCGAGTTGAAAACCTGAAAAGGTGGCTCGAATACAAAAATTGGGCAGCTGAGGCGATCGCACGAATTCCTTGATAAGGCATCGCACAATCCAAGCTTGACCATGAAAGCTGGGAATCGGACAACACTTCCAATAGAGGAGCATGAAAGATACCCCATCAAATCTTTGAGCGTCAAATAAACAAAAATGCCAAACCTTTGACCAAACACAATCACCTGAGACATTTTTATCCTTTCCTTACTTAACCATTTCCCAAAAATAGATTTGATCTTGGCACGTGTCAAATAGCTATAATTTATGGAAGGATTAACAATGCAATTAATTCTTTGATATCCAATAAACTCTAGTTTTATGATTTGTCTCAATTGTAAAACCGTGAAAGGGGCAATATTTTCAAAACTTTTGGTTAAACATTTTTCGAAACTCTTTTTTGATATTTTCAGAACTTTAAAAATAAAAAAATAAAAACATTTCTTTTCAAAACAAGACAATCTCTCTAGTGTGGATCTTGGTAAATGACATGTGGCTCTCAAACACAAAACTCATGCTAAGAATCAATGCTGAAGTAAGAAATCAGGAACAATGAGGACATCTTTGAAGATTCAACATCAAATGTTGGGGCATTTTTTTAGATTTAACAACAAATGTTGGGGCATTTTTTGAGATTCAACATCGAATATTGGGGCATCTTTGGAAAATTCAACATCCTAATGCAAATTATCAGACCTTTTGAAGGCATTTCCTCCATATGCAGGAACAAGCACACAAAGCACGAGACTCCATCCAGGGGATAAAACAGAACTAATTCATGTTACATGCATCTTAGACATACTTAAGAGCATCGCATTTATAATTTTTTGTATACATAAGTTTTTGCAGCTTTTAGAGTCAAGTTTCAACTTCAAGATGAATGATGCTCGATTCAAAAGCACATGGTGGTTGCTCTACCTCACAGCGAAGGGGCGACTGTCTAACAACAAAACAACTTTCCAGTTTCAGTCAGAGTCAATTTCAACTTCACGGCGAAGGATATTGAACTCAAAGCGACACAATTCGCTCGAGAGTAGATTTCAACTTCACGAAGAAAGATATCTAGCTCGAAGCCAAACTTCACAATAAAGGCGTCATCCACGGTTTCGACTTCAAGGCGAAGGGAATCGTGTCCACCCGCAACATACAATACTTGGATTTCAACTTCACAACGAAGGATGTCCAAGTCAAGGCTCAACTTCACGACGAAAGGGCCACCTGCGATTTCAACTCCACGATGGAGGATATCGTGCCACTCGAGACAACACAAGTTCAACTCCACAATGAAGGGACGACTGGTTGTCAACAAACAATTTCCCAATTTGAGAGCCAATTTCAACTTCACAACGAAGGATATTGGACTCGAGACAACACAAGTTCAACTTCCCAACGAAGGGACAGCTGGTTGTTAACAAATAATTTCCCAATTTCGGAACCAATTTCAACTTCACAGCGAAGGGGCGGCTGGCTGTCAACAAATAATTTCTTAGTTCCAGAGCCAATTTTAACTTCACGGCGGAGGATATTGGACTCGGAACAATACAACTTACTTGGATTTCAACTTCACGACGAAGGATATCCAATTCCAAGGCTCAACTTCACAACGAAGGGGTCATCCACGTTTCAACTTCACGACGAAGGGAATCGTGCTCACCATTGTCTCTCTTGAGATAGTTTCCAAGTTTCCCTTGAAACAAATTATTTGAATCTGTTTTCATTGAAACTAATTTCATCTCCCTTGAGACATTTTCTTTTGGAACTAAATTTTGTCTCCCTTGAGACAGTTTCTCTTGAAATATAAACATTGAAAATATTTCCCTTAAAATGAATTTTATCTCGATTGAGATAGTTTCCCTTGAAACGAAATTTTGTCTCCCTTGAAACATAAACATTGAAAACATTTCCCTTGAAATAAATTTTATCTCGCTTGGGGTAGTTTCCCTTGAAACAAAATTTTGTCTCCTTTGAGACAGTTTCTCTTGAAACATAAACATTTCCTTTGAAATTAATTTTGTCTCTCTTGAGATAGTTTCCCTTGAAACAAAATTTTGTCTCCCTTGAGATAGTTTCTCTTGAAACATAAACCTTGAAAACGTTTCCCTTGAAACACAAAATATTTAAATCAGTTCCCCTTAAAACGAGTTTTGAGATAGTTTCTCTTGAAACAAAATCTTGTCTCTCTTGAGACAATTTTCCTTTAAACAAATTTTGTCTCTCTTGAGACAGTTTCCCTTGAAACAAAATCTTTGAATATCTTTTCCTTGAAACAAATTTCGTTTCCCTTGAGACAGTTTCTTTTAGAACTAAGTTTTGTCTCTCTTGAGAGAGTTTCTTTTGAAACAAATTTTGTTCCTCTTGAGATAGTTTCTCTTGAAACACAAAAAAAAAAACCCTCGAAATTGTTTCTCTTGAAACACACACACAAAAAACCTTTGAAAATGTTTCTCTTGAAACACCAAACCCTCGAGTTCGATTACACTCAGCTTCGAGGGCACATCATTTACAGCATAACTCAAGGCTAGAAGGTTATCTGTCACCAAAAGACCTTCGAGTTCGACTATGTTCAGCTCTAAGGAACATCATTTACAACATAACTCAAGACAAGAAGGGCTATATGTCAATAAAATTGTCGAGTTTAATTCCATTCAGCTCGATGACACCTCAATCACAATATTGTCCTGCTGCAATCGAGGTTTTTCAGCCGAGAAAAAGGTTTGGGTTAGCCGTGCCTTAGTAGCAAAAATCCTTTTTTCCGTCAGCTTAGCTTAAGTCGAGAAAAATATCTGTCAGCGAAGACTTTTCGAGTTCGGTTTCATTCAGCTCGAGGGCATATCAACCACATTGTGGAGTCAAGAGATTACTTTCTAGTCGAATTTTTAGCCAAGGTTTTTAATTCGAGAAGAAGACCAAAGTGGACTACAACGAGAAGCCACATTCTGATTCAAATCATTTCAAGATGGACTCAACTTCGCCACGGATGAACCATCCGCAATTCAATTCGACAATGAGTTATTCTTCAACTCCACTGAACGAAAATTTGTGTCTTTTTATCTTTGTCCTATTTTTCGTTCCACGAAAAAGGACAAGGAACGAAAAATATGACAAAGAGTGGCAGCTGTAGACACCCATTTTCTTAAAAGATATAACTAGCAAGAGTTTCTCTCCTAGGAGGACTCTTCACCACCGTATCTTTTAAAGCAACAACCACACCAACAAACGTGCAACAATCGAGCAAGGAGTCTAGTTGCATTAGGATTCTATTGTTATTAGGATTCTAAAAATAGTTAATTTTTTTCACTATAAATACATGTAATCCTCCCCATTTGTAACACAAGATTTACATACAAAATACAGAGGAAAACACGAAAATACAAAACCAAACATATTGTAAACGATTCGAAAAGGAAATAAAAAGTAGCATTTTTTTTTGATCCCTTACGTTTACGTTTTAATTATTATTATTTTATTTATTTAACTTTATTTATACGCACATTTCCCTTGTTACTTTTATTTAATTGATTTTTTTTCATGTAATATTTTTTTACATTTTATGCATTTTCTTTTTTACTTTAATATATATATTTTTTAGATTACATATATATATATGTTAATTTTCATTATCTTTTTATTAATTTATATATATATATTTATTTGTTATTTTTTTTCATAATGATTGTTTCGTTTTTCAATATTTAATTTTTTTATTTCATTTTATTTTATTCCAATTTTATTTTGGTTTGATTCATCGTATTTTTATTATTATTTTTATCTCTCTTTGTTTTTATTATTATTATATTATTATTATTTATCTCATATTTTTTCCTTTTTATTTTTTTTTCTCTTTCCTTTTTGATTTATTATTTTGGTATTTTATTTATTTATTTAATATTATCATTTTTTGGATGCATTTAATTTCTATTTATTGTTATTATTACTTTTAACATTTTCGACTTTTTTTTTATTTCCAACCAAATCTAAGGTAAACAATTCAAATCGAATTTTTAAATTTTAATTTAATTATTAATTTTCGCAATTAAAAACAACCGACAAATTAATTGGTACCGAAAGAGCGGTTCAATGGTGCTAATCATTCCTTGACTGTAACCGACTCCCGAACCCGGCATTTTGGTACAACGCATATCAGGTAAGATGATGTCCGACCCACCTAAATTCGTTTTAAAGTGGTCGGTGGCGACTCTAACCCAACTCATCCACATTTTTCAAGTCGAAGCCCAATTCCGGACCCAACCGAAAGACGGTTACGACAGTTAAGAAAAATCTTCAGATAATCCTATGACTTTGTGCAAGTTGGGGTCTTATTTGGAATCCTATTTAGCAAGATTTACCAATCATCTATTACCTATCTTAATTTATAAACCATGCATGAGTTAAATTCCGATATATACGAGGTTATACAGGCACCCGCCTGTCCCTGTATCGGTCAAGCAACTGCACCAAGAATAAAGAAGACAAAACTTAGTTCAATAATTTCCATAAATGACCACCTTAAAGTGTTGGTCGACATATTAAGTCATATAAAAAGTGATTAAAGACTGACCTGGAACTTTAGCAAGCCAAGCAATAGATGTAAATCAAAGATAAACTTCTATGATCTTAGTAAGATCTGCACGTGAAAGATATAAAAGATCCACTGATCACTTCAGCAACTAAGTCGGGTAAAAACTAAGCCTACTCAACAGGAGGAAAGAGATAGAGAGTCGCTGTCTTAAAGAAAATGTATTCTCTTGCATACAATGTGAAAGACTGGTAATTGTTTTCTATGTGCTACGAGCCCCCATATTGAAAGCAAATGAAATGGTCACAGATCTCTCTTCCTTCTGTTAGTAACAAAATATTATCATGAACTTTGGTTTATATTATTTCTGGGCTTTCTTTCATACTCTCAGATTACCATAGAGGCTAGATCATTGCTGGTCTTTAAGAGTTTTACAGCTGATCTAGAATGCTTTTAAAAGTTTAAACCAATTTAATCGAGTAAACAACCAACCAAGAGCTAACAACATAATAGATTACAAGCTTGCATGAGCAGCAGAAGTTTACAAGTTCAAAAGAAATATCTCGAATTTGAAACTAAACATACCGATCTAATATATGGTTGCTGGAACAACCAACCAAGCAAAGGTATCCTCTGCAAAAATACTGCCAGTGTCGGCCAAAAACCACCGCAAAAGAAAATGGGGATACTAAATGAGAAGCTCGAAATTGGCAGAAGCATGTGTTCTCATTGAGTCAAGGTAATGAAAATTTCATATAGAGCTGAAGAGGACAACAAATCCATATGCCTCCAATACCATGTCAATGACAGGCCGTCCAATGACAACAAAAAAGAATCCAACACCAAAAGAAATTGTTCCCTGCATTCAATAGCAACAAATCACAATGAAAAGAAGAGATGAATGCATAATTGTACGTGCACATGTGTGAAACAAAGAGAGAGGAAGGAATAAATCAAACCTTAAAATTTTGAGGCTTCATGAAAAACTGCATGGTAGACTTCAGACCAATAGTTAAGGTTACTCCTGATAAGAAAAGAATCTGATTAACAGAAAAAAAGAAGGCAATGTTAGTCAAACAAATAAAAATAGAAGTTATGCAAAATGGACACAAGGTAATAGAAGTTAGCTTACATTTGCAATCCCTTGTCGAAAAAGAAGATAATTCCGAGAAATGAAAAAAATATGCCAAATCCGGTTAATCCTAGCCCAATTTCTGTTTTTCATAATTCTAAAATTAATATTGTATGAAAGTTAACTGCATGAAAATGAGCACACAAGTTGCCACTTAGGCTCTTTCCATGCAGTTGAATATATAATTTTATCAGCAAACATCTTTAGTTTCAAAGTAAAACTGGAGCTCACACTTTAATTCATCAAACGCATTTGAAGTTCGAAAAAAATCAGCACTTCAAACCATTGGCAAATCGACACGTTGTAAAATAAAACGAGCATTTAAATACATTCCAATCTTAGAAGGAAATACAGAGTGAATGGAATAAGCAGGTCCACAGATTTGTATTTCACTAATTTTTTAGGAATTGCTCATTAAACCGCATTTCAAGTACCAAATCAACAGAAGCTTCATGAATACAAAAGATTCGTAGACGCGTTATCTGAATGAAAGGAAGCAAAAAAGGCGCAAAAAGGAAAAGAAAATGTAGCTTACTCTTTCGATCGTTCATTTCAAAGGAAGCCATTGCGCTGATGGTTGAGATTCCTGAAGCTTAAAAGAGTAAATGAAACAGAACAAATGTTGAATGAATTAAAGTGAGGATGCGCTGAATGGAAAAGAGAATCTAACGCTTAATAAGATATCTAAACTAGTAGAGTGAATAGCATAAAAAAGAGAAAAAATTTCCGTTTCGTTTACCTAATCAAGCAGGGAAAACAAGCGACAAGTATGGAATCGAAATCAGAGATAAAGAAAAAGATTTCTTTCGATTGTATGGAAATTTAAAGACATCGATATAAATATATGAATAAGCTAAGCTGATTCCTTAACTTAGTAGCTTTAGCACACGTTGATTTCCCAATCAAATTAATCCAGGAGAAAATTATTAATTAGATGGTTAAAAGACCTTATAGGTCCCTCTCATTTTCAACTTGGGAAATTGGCCCCTTTCGAAAATGTAATTTAGTCCTTGATAATTTTGAAAGTGAGCAATTAAAGATAATTAATTACAACTTCAATGTTTTATGCCATTGTTGCGTAAATTTGATTGAAATAATAAATAAATTTACTCCTTAATTTTACAGATTATGTTAATTTAATCATGATTCTAAAAAATCAATTATAGTTTACATATTTTATAAATGTTGAGGGCTAAATTTATTGATTTATTTTAGATTTAGGAACAAATTAATTTAATATATAAATGTTGAGGATTAAATTAAAACTATATAAATTTAAGATTGAAAATGCTATTGTGATCATTTCGAAAATTTACAAGAATTAAATTACTTTCTTTCTCTAAGAAAAATCAATTAATCAAATTGGGAGGATCTTTAGATATTTTTATCATAATCATATATATACTAACACAAAAATTATTTTAACATAAAGTATATATTATTAAAATGTGGTTTGCATTTATTGATAAAATAAATTACAAGAAACTGAAAAGTTATAGAAACAAAAAGCTTGAATAGAACCAAAATAAACAAAGCACAACAAAACAGTGCAAACGACACATCTCCTTGGCATTCAAAGATGAGATGTAGAGGGCGAGCTAGGATATAAACAAGAAGGGGGCCTCGAAAAGGGGAAAAAGTGAACCCAACCAAACAGAGAATAATTCTTACTAAGGCTGTTCAGAGAAACGCCGATTAACATCCACCAGGGCCTGAACACTGACCGGCACTTCTTCCACCCAGAAACGATCCTCAGGCGAGGATAATCCTTCCCTCGCCATTGCATGTGCAGATCGGTTTTTTTTTTTTGGGCGTGAAACGATAGAAACACTCCGTGAAAAACTTAAAGAGGCAAAGGATAACCCAGGTTGTGCTTCTGATGACCGATGAGTCGTTAACGTTGGACTGAAGTTTACTGATAATGGATTTCGAATCACTTTCCAAGATTACATGAGAAAAACCCTTATCCTTTGCAAAAAGAAGCCTGTGATAAGTTGCGAGTGCTTCCGCCATGAACACCGATGAAAAGGAGCTATGAATTCGGTACCAGGAGTCCAGAGCGTGGCCATGCTCGTCTCAAATTGCCACACAAGAAGTAGCTTTCTGTAGAGTCGTGGAGTGACCAGCATCAACATTAATCTTGACTCGTTTGGAGATTGAGGTAACCAAACTACTGTAGAATATGAAGTGGTAGGGGAATAGCGCCGGGGCAAACCACCAAATTCTTTCTCGAAACTTTTAATTGAGGTAACAACAATATCCACACTGCATTTTATTTTCATAAATAAGAATGTTAAGAGCATGCCATAAACATCATATAGTGATTTCCAATTTCGCTTGTTGATTAGAGTCCCTATGTTTGAAAAACCAAGATAGCCACTCTTTCAACTCAACATTAGAAACTGCTGTAGGCAAGTATATGTTTAGCTTATTCCAAACCTGAGTAGCAAAAGGTCAGTCTCGAGATACATGGGTTATATCTTCAATAGGAGCTTTACCACGAGGACAACTTGTATAATACATAATTCGCGTTGTACACAGGTTATGAAAAGTAGGAACATAATTAAGAAGGCATTTCCAAATCATAATACGAACCTTATGGGAACATTTCAATTGCCAAAGTTGTTTATAAAAATGAGCCTCATCGTCATTTATATTCCCCGAATCAAGTAATTCTTGTATCCATTACGAACCGAGTAGAGCCCTTAGTGTTCTCCATACCAAACCAATTTATCAAGTTGAGGCGTTGAAGGTGAGAGAATGCTAAAAATAAAATCAGCCTGCTTCTTATTGAACTTAGAAGAGATAAGTTCCAAATTTCAATGTTCTGTACCAGGAACACTATGGTCACTCACCACGTTCAAACCATGAGCCCCAGGTGAAGATATTAGTTTTTGATCATTCGTTGGAAGCCAATAGTTTGATCAAATTGAAATGTTAACTCTCGTTCCAATTCACCATCTTAGACCAGCTTGTAAAAGGTCTTTTGCGCTCCCAATGCTTCTCCGAATCATAGATGGGTTTGATCCCAAGGGAGAAGCAAGGAAATTAGAGGTATGGAAATATTTTGCTTTGCACAGCCTAGCCACAAGGGAATCTGGATTCTCAACAAAATGCCACCCTTGTTTAGCCAACATTACTATGTTCAATTTGGACATGTCCCGAAAACCCATTCTGCCATTTTCCTTTAAGAGACTTAGATTTGACCAATCACAACAATGATTCCCTTTCTTGGTAGCTGAGTTTTGCCACCAAAATTTAGCCATCAACGATTCAAGTTCTTTACAGAGCGTTCTCGGTAAGAGAAAACACGATATAGCATATGCAGGTATGGCTTGGAGGATGGATTTAATCAAGACCTCACGACCTCCAATAGATAAAGATTTATGATTCCAATTAGTCTTTTTTTGGAGAAGCCTTTATTTTAAAACCCGAAAATGTATTTTTTTTGCCCAATAATCTGAGGAAGACGTAGATACTTCTTTGTAATTGAGGTTTGTTGAACATCCAAGATGCGACAAACATCATTCTTGTCATTATTATGGACGTTAGCACTGAAGAAAGCCCCTGATTTATCATAATTTACAATTTGTCCAGAGCAGATGGAATAAGAATCCAACAAAGTTTTAAAACCCTAAGCACCAGCTGCATTTGTTTCGCCAAAGATAATGTTGTCGTCAGAGAAAAAGAAATGGGTAATAAGAGGATCGTATTTATTCGAACCCCTTTGAGAGAACCATGCAAAGACACCATCTAAATTAAAGAGGAGAGACCCCCACTGCATATTGTCGCAACCGAACCTTGGGGGGGGAACCAACTAGTTGCAACAATGGGGTTTTTGAAATGATTTTGAAATGAAATTTTTGAAGTCATCGCCAATCATTTTTATGGTGCGATTGGAACATCTAAAATCATATAATTTTAATAAAACATTTTATTTTATAAAAAATACTAAATTTGGATCTGCAAAAGCTATAAATCAAGTTTGGAAGTCAGTTACGCTTGGGAAGGATTAACACTTCAACAAAGTTCAAAAATTGAAACTTAGTCGATTACCTATATTTAAAATTAGAAATTTTGAGTTCGATGTTTTATTTAATTTAAAATTTATTATGGATGCCCTATTTAATACCCTAATTCGAACTAAAGCAATAAATAAATCTACCATATGACCAAATTATAAATTTGGGGAAAATTACAAGGACCTAAACTATATTTAACCTTAGTAATTACTAATGAAAATAAAGAGGAAAATTATTGCAAAAAGCTCTTGTAAAACGAAATTAAACTAACAAGATTTCAGGGACCTAAGAAAGATTAACCCTGAACCCTAATCTTAAAGGGGTATTTGATTAGGGGAATGTGAGATTCTCATGGGAATGGAATTCATATTCTCTCGATTGGTTAGTCGGGAATGTCATTCCTGATAATATTTTATTACTAATAGTGGATTTTTTGAGTATAATACTTGGAATGTATTACCTCTTCCTTTAGATATTGTTAGATTACCGGCGTTTTGGACTAAAATGTCCTTAATTTTTTAAAAAAAATATCATTCTTCTGTCATTGAATAATAAAGATTCTACGAATATTAAATTACAAATTTATCTTTAAATTATTTTAAATTTACAAAAAAAAATATTATAATTAAAATTTTATATGAAATTTATGATTAAAATAAAATTTTATCATTTCATTAAACCTTTTTATATAAAAAAATTATATAAATTATATAAATTAAATTTATTTTAAAAAATATATAAATATTTTTCAACTTGTTAAAAAAATAAATATATAATAAGAACAATTTGATCAAATATATATTCTAATAATCTTTTATTACTTTAACCAAACACGATAATCTTAAATTATTACTAAATCAACTAAACACAAAATAAAACAATCTCAATAATCTTATTCCATAATTTTTATTCCTAATAATAAACTTACCTTCCGTAAACACAACCTAAACACAACCGAACCACCTCATTTTTTAACTTTCATTTCTCTTTCATCTCCATCTTTCACTCGTTCGGCCGAGAACACCAAGGCCTTCCCATGACTTGTTGGCCATCATATTCCGGCGACTTCACCTTGCCTCGACCGTCGTCAATTATAGTAAAAAAATTAAATCGAACCCCAAAATTCGCTCAAAACCCCTTTCTATCTCGACACTTAACATTTTTGAAAATCGCAGTTGTCGTTTTGCTTGCAATAAGCCGACGTTTCCTCTTCCCGACCATCGTCCATGGTGGTCGGTATGACAAAACGAAAATCAAATAAACTTAAACTCCAAAATCCAGACCTAAACGGCTTCTAAATCCCCCAAAAACAATCCTAGATGCTCACTCTCATCTTCGACCAGGAGACCTCACACCTCGGCGACGAGAACCCTAGCGGCGGAGGCCTACGACTCAGGCGAGACACAAAACCACTAAGGTAACTAAGACTACCTCTTTTATTTCTCTGTTTTAAACTAAAAACGAAAAAAAATTATGTGAATGCGAAAAAACCTTTAAAGATTCACTACTGTATTACTTTCGAAAGGAGGGAGAGGGCCCTTTTACATGTGCTTTGAGGGTTTTATATTAG